TCATCCTAAATCGTAACTTAGGAAAAAAAATATGTGGGTTTTTTCTGTATACTTACAGCAAGACAATTCTTTATTTTAAAAAAATCACTTGTGTTGATTCTTGGAGTAGGTTAGAAAGCAGAATTTGTCACAGAAACTAGTTTTAATTTTTTTTTCGTCGACAGATGTTCCTCAAGAGCCCAGTGACTCATCTCCAAACAACCCTGAAAGATGTAAGTTAATACATTCTTCTGGACTGATGCAACTGTGGTCTCCTTGAAATTCTTAGATTTCTGGAATAACCACAGACATGATGGATAATGAATCCTTTGATTAACCTTTTCTTCTTTGCATTAGCACAGTGAGATGCAGATGACAGTGTAGGATTTGAATGTAGATTTTTCCACACTCAATCCCTCGCTCATTAGACCAGGACATCTCAATGACCTTAGCTTTTGCAGGCCTAATAGTATTTTCTATATCAGGAGTTCCCAAACTTGGCAACTTTAAGACTTGTGGAGTTCAGCTCTCAGAATGCTCCAGACAGCATGAAGAATTCTACATCAGACTCTAGAAAGAGTACAGAGAAGAGCAACAAAGATGATTAAGGGACTGAAGGCTAAAACATATGAGGAATGGTTGCAGGAACTGGGTATGTCTAGTTTAATGAAAAGTAGGACAATTAGTAGAACACTTAGTAGGACAACTAATCAGAGGAACAACTTACCTCCAGAAGTTGTGAATGCTCCAACACTGGAAGTTTTTATGAAGAGATTGGACAATCATTTGTCTGTAATGGTATAAGGTTTCCTGCCTAAGCAGGTCTTCTAATCCAGCCCTCTGCTCAAGCAGGAGAATCTGTACCATCTCAGACAAGTAACTGTCCAGTGTTGGAGCATTCATGACTTCTGGAGGCAGGTTGTTCCACTGGTTAATTGTTCTCACTGTCAGGAAATTTCTCCTTAGTTCTAGTTGTTTCTCTCTTTGGTTAGTTTCCATCCATTGCTTCTTGTCCTGCCTTCAGGTACTTTGGAGAATAGCTTGACTCCCTCTTCTTTGTGGCAGCCCCTGAGATACTGGAACACTGCTATCATGTCACCCCTCGTCCTTCTCTTCTTTAAACTAGACGTACCTAATTCCAGCAACTGTTCTTCATATGATCCTTGATAGAGATTCATACCGAAGCAAAATTTTCATCACTTGAATCCCGATAGGCCTCTGATGGCCTTTGGACTATGTTAGAAGTACACAGGAGTGCTGGTATTTCACCCTCTGCTCTGTAACAAAATTCTCTAAGACAGTGTTTCTCAACCTGTGATCTACAGACCCCTGGGGTCCCCTAAATGTCATCACAAGGTGTCTACAAAGTCTTGAAGAAATGTTATGATTTAAATGATAGCAGTGTTCTGATATCTCAGTCATGGCCACAAAGAAAAGTGAGTCAAGCTATTCTCCAAAGCACCTGAAGGCAGGACAATAAGCAATGGATGGAAACTAACCAAGGAGAGAAGCAACCTAGAACTAAGGAGGAATTTCCTAACAGTGAGAACAATTAATCAGTGGAAGGACGTTCCTCCAGAAGCCGTGAATGCTCCAACACTGGAAGTTTTTAGGAAGAGACTGGACAGTCATTTGTCTGAAATGGTATAGGGTTTCCTGCCTGAGCAGGGGGTTGGACTAGATGACCTCTAAGGTCCCTTCCACCACCACCACCACCACCACCACCACCACCACCACCACCACCACCATCATCATCATCATCTTGTTGTTGTTGTTGTTGTTGTTGTTGTTGTTGTTGTTGTTGTTGTTGTTGTTGTTGTTGTTGTTCTTCTTCTTCTTCTTCTTCTTCTTCTTCTTCTTCTTCTTCTTCTTCTTCTTCTTCTTCTTCTTCTTCTTCTTCTTCTTCTTCTTCTTGAGTTAAGTCTTGGTGGTCCATGGCCACAAAAGGTATTTAAAGGGGGTCCATGATAAAGAAGAGGTTGAGAAATACTGCTCTAAGAAATTTCACCTTGAGATAAATTTCACTCCTCACATGGATTCCTTCAAAAGAACAGATTTTATTATAAGTTATTTGATGATATGAGGCTTGTTTGCTAGGAAGAATTCCTGCACATTTTTTTACACCCAACCTATCTGTTTTTCGTTGTTTCTTCAGACGCTGAAAGCAGTGGACTCCTTGAAACCTTCAGAGGGGCGGGTACTGTATAGATCTTCATATTTCAATAGGGAAACATGTAGAAAATATATTTCAACATACTTCAACATGGGGTGAACCATAGGCCATTTCAGGAAGCACCAATCTTTCTGAACACCCAAATTGTCCTACTTGGCTTTTGAATTATGCTCAGATGTGAGGCACAAGACAATTAAGAGATGGATTTTTTAAAAGATGGCTACACCTTATATTTTGGCACGGTGCTCAGCGATTAAGATTAAGATTAAGGTTCGAGACCCAAGTGCAACATGATGGGGTAAGCTCCTGTCCTTGCCTCAACTCCTGCCAACCTAGAAGTTCAAAAGCATGCAAAGGCAAGTAGATAAATAGGCACCACTTACATGGGAAGCTAACAGCACTTTGACATGCTGGCCACAAGACCATGGAAATGTCTTCAGACAATGCTGGCTCAATGGCCTTGAAACGGAGATGAGCAATGTCCTATAGTTCAGGGATTTTCAACCTTTTCACCCATTGTACCACTTTTAGGATATGGCAACATCCGAGTACCACCAGTTGCCTAGCAAGGTGTCAAAAACTTGACCCAAAAAAAAAGGAAAAAAGTGATAAAGTACAGTTTATCAGTTTGCTTAGTGACTGTTTGAAGTTACAATGGCACTGAAAAAAGTGCCCCCCCAAGCCACAGCCGAGCAAGACACCTGCCTGCCCACCTGGCCGCGCTCTTTCTCCTGTCTGAGGTTTTAATTGTGAGCATTTCTGTTGAGGATTGGCAGTGGGGGTGGGGTGGGGTGTTTGGTTTTTATTTCCCCCATCTGCTGGGTGGTTGCAGCAGGTTTTGGTCACTTCACATGACCCTGGGACGCTGTGACTGTCATAAATATGAATCAGTTGCCAAGCATCTGAATGTTAATCACAAGGCCCTGGAGATGCTGCAACATTCCAGCTGATTGGTGCTGCTTCTGGGCTCAGCAGAAGCGTCAGGATCAGTGCCGAGCTCCAGCTGGAGCTCAGCGCTGATCCTGGTGCTTCCGCTGAGCCCTGGCAGCCCTGCAGCTCCAGCCATCTCTCGCTCAGGCTTGTGCAGTGCTGCCACTGGTTCAGCTCATTCCCCTCCCCCACTACCACTTTTCTAGGATGGTCGCGTACCACCTGCCAGGTGCCAATGTACCACAGGTGGTACCCGTACCACAGGTTGAAAAGCCCTGCTAAAGTTGGCAATGACTTTATCTTTTTTTTCTCATTCCACACATTTAAAGATAACATCTGGTTTTATCTTTCCATCCCTGAATGTTACATCTCTTGTCAGTCTTACAACTTGTCTGATATTCTGGGGTCACCATCGACGTTCTTATCTGTCTTTTGAAGTTTTCTTCTGCACTTTTGCTTCCCTTAATCTAAGGATCAATAACTAAATACAGACATTTCCATAATATCAATAACCTAATACTTTAAATATTAAACTCTCAGGTGTGCTACCACTCATTATGCAATTCCATTTTTCTCAGTGGTGGGATTCAAATACGTGAACAACCGGTTCTCTGTGTGGATGCCACTTCCGGAAGTCCATTCTGGGCCCGGGCAACAAAAAAATAGCTATCGGTTCTGCCAAAGTGGTGCGAACTGGCTGAATCTCACCACTGCATTTTCTGCAAAAATGCTTCGATTTGACAAGAGTTCATGAGTCTCACACCAGGAGTCTGGAGACTTCAAAGATGAGATTAACATAAGCCTTATAACAATAAAATAAAACAAATTACGTTTTTTAAAAGGGGAGATGGAAACGTCTTGTAAATTTATTATTGTTGCTGTTATTGTTGTTCGCCACACAGTCAGCCAGAGCTGTGGAATGGATTTGGCATTTTTATCCACCTATCTAGTCCTTCCCAAGGACCTGGGATTGGGAAATGTTACTGTGGATGTTATTATTGAGTGGCACCAAGTACTTGGGAAGGAGTTTCAATCCTTGCTTTAGTCACTGACAATATTATTATTGAGAACTTTGAGAATCCTATTGATTCATGAAGAACAGGGTGGTGGAAGTAGGGCTTCTTTTCCCACTCAGCAAACGTACTGTTTTTTTATGTGACATAATGATTGGCTGGTTTTCTGTTGCCATCTTCTTTATAGTTTGTCTTCTAGTGTTAGTTTTTAATTATATCTGTTGAATTCTGTATTAAATCTTCTGTGCAGAAGGAAGGAGTAAGATAATAAAAACAAATGATTATCACTGTTTTGGTGCCATCAAGGGCCACATAATGCAATGCATACAATAAAGAAAAACTTAGTTTTCACAACATTGCCTAAAAGGACAAATGTGATTTGAAACTTATCTTATTCAAATATAAGAAATTCTTGTATTTAGCAAGAGCTCACTGGGACCTACCTTCCTTCCTTCCTTCCTTCCTTCCTTCCTTCCTTCCTTCCTTCCTTCCTTCCTTCCTTTCTTCTTTTTATTTTCTTTCTTTCTTTCTTTCTTTCTTTCTTTCTTTCTTTCTTTCTTTCTTTCTTTCTTTCTTTTCTTTGTTTTTTCTTTCTTTCTTTCTTTTTTTCTTTCTTTCTTTCTTTCTTTTCTTTTCTTTTCTTTTCTTTTCTTTTTTTTTCTTTTCTTTCTTTTCCCGTAGTTTCCTTGGCCATTTCTGGAAGTAATAGAAGTTTGTTTCAGCTTATTTAGTTAAGCATCAGACCTCCGTTTTCATCATCTGTAAAAAAAAAAAAAGGTATAGAAAAGGTATTTGATTGCTTAGAGAGGCATGTTTTGAAATTTCCTGATCAAGGAAATTACAAAAAGCATAAACATTATCTGGTATGATAACATAAACTTTTTCTCTTTTATTTTGCTTTATAGCCGTAACCCAGAAAGATGCAACTGTTGCTTTTGATAATTCTGTACAAAGAGGTAAGTTGGTACCTGCAGTTTGTTCCCAGGGTGAACAAGTCTTCAACCCTGCTGTGGAAAATATTTGCTTCATTTACAGTTATTGGAAACGTGTGTCTTATTTTTATCCTGGCCTTTAAAAAGGCTTGAGCTGAAAGTAACCTGGCTTGCTAAGACTTTCATGCCTTGAATGACCTTGCTAGGAATATGTACACACCTTAGATCAACAGGCCAGTGTGCTGCAGCTGCCAAAAAGGCCAACACAGTGCTAGGCTGCATTAACAGAGGGATAGAATCAAGATCACGTGAAGTGTTAATACCACTTTACACTGAGATACTGCATCCAGTTTTGGTCACCACGATGTAAAAAAAGATATTGAGACTCTGGAAAGAGTACAGAGAAGAGCAACAAAGATGATCAGGGGACTGGAGGCTAAAACATATGAGGAATGGTTGCTGGAATTGGGTGTGTCTAGTTTAATCAAGAGAAGGACGAGGGGGGACATGATAGCAGTGTTCCAATATCTCAGGGGCTGCCACAAAGAAGAGGGAGTCAAGCTATTCTCCAAAGCGCCTGAAGGCAGGAGAAGAAGCAACGGATGGAAACTGATCAAGGAGAGAAGCAACCTGGAACTAAGGAGAAACTTCCTGACAGTTAGAACAATTAACCAGTGGAACAAGCTGCCTCCAGAAGCGGTGAATGCTCCAACACTGGAAGTTTTTAAGAAGAGACTGGACAGCCATTTGTCTGAAATGGTATAGGGTTTCCTGCTTGAGCAGGGGGTTGGACTAGATGACCTCCAAGGTCCCTTCCAACTTTATTACTATTACTATTACTATTACTATTACTATTACTATTACTATTATTATTAACATTCTGTCTTACCAGTTGTATCCCTTCCCGCTCCCACCTGATAAGGCAATACAGCAAGACCTGGGAGATTGGGTGGGGGGGAAAAACATATTTATACTTGATCTAAATTCATACAGAGTCGAATCTCCTATTAAGAAGTAAAGGAGTTAATCCTGCATCTTTTCCCAGGATTGTCAGAGAGCTATTTTGCTACAATAAGGGCTACAACTACTTCACCTGAGATTAACATAACAGAAGCGGAATTCATCCCAGCTTCAGAATTTTCAAGACCAGCAAACCGTGGCAAGTAAAATTCCTGTTGTCCTAGGATTCATTAAGAAAAAAAGGCAATGCAAGCACATCTGTGACTGTATGTTAAAAGCGCACCTCTACTTTATATACATCGTCATTATCATTCTAGCTTTTGACTGTCCACTGCGGGATGAAGGTCTCTTCTGCATGTTTCCAGCCAGTACTTATATATAAGTGAGATTCATGGGTTTTTCATTCAAGAACACTATAGGCCAGTGATGGCGACCCTTTTAGAGACTGAGTGCCCAAACTGCAACCCAAAACCCACTTATGCATCGTCGAGTGGGTGTGGCCCATTGGGTGGGTGTGGCCCATTGGGTGGGTGTGGCCCATTGGGTGGGCGTGGCTGCGGTGGTAACGGCAGACTGGATGGGACTAAAAAGTTCAATCAATCAATTCCAACTTTGCAAGATCTTTTTTTCCCCGCGAGAAGTTGAAATTGACTGATTGAACCTTTTTTTTTTTTTTGCACATGGCGGCAGAGGCCTAAAGTGAAAAGGTTTTATAAAACCCAGCTGAAGGGCCTAGGACTGGGGCGACGGCGCGCATGCCCACAGAGAGGGCTCTGAGTGCCGCCTCTGGCACCCATGCCTTAGGTTCGCCACCACTGCTATAGGATTCTGCTTTGTTTTAAATAGAACTTAGGACCCCAAATCCAGGACATCTCTTCAAGATATCTGGGGAGGAAACGGCGACATTGTCTACAACAATTCCAGAAGAGTCACCATCTCCTGAAGAATCTTTTGGAGAAGGTATGAAATGCTTTCACTCAACCCAATAGTTTAATTGGAAGAAAAGAGAGGAGACCTATAAAACAGTTAGTATGAGAAAGTCGTGTTGTACATTAAAGAAAAAAAAGTAAGTAGAAAAGAAGTGACTGACCAGTGTATTAATTCTTTAGGACAGGGGTCTTCAAACTTGGCCCTTTTATGACTTGTGGACTTCAACTCCCAGAATTCCTCAGCCAGGCACGCTGGCTGAGGAATTCTGGGAGTTGAAGTCTACAAGTCATAAAAGGGCCAAGTTTGAAGACCCTTGCTTTAGGAGATGTAAAAAATCCCTTCTCTTTCATAACGTGTAATCCATTAATTCAGGGTACAGTTGTGGTGACTGGATGGAGCTGAGCATTTACTGGCCAGATGCCCTTCCTGATGCCTATGCAGAGCTCACAGCAGAGTTTTTTTCTTTGTGCCCTGAGAGAGAAACATCTGCCATTACTTAAGATTGAATTCTAAACCTTCCCAGTGGGAGGTGAGCGCCTTCACCACTAGGCCACCACACCACTCCTTTAGAAGATATCTTGGGCTTAATTATTTTTTTTTAATGGCACACAGAAATTACATCGAAAACTGCTATTTGCTAGTGAAATGGACCGTTCCAGAAAAATGGGTTCTTTATTTCAAATCAGCCTTATTTTTCTGGTGCCCAGATCTTCTCTTGAAGGTTGAAAGATTCAAGGGAGAAAATTTGAGGACTATGAGACACACAGAAGAAAAGAGAATTCCATAGTCGTGTTTTTTAGCCATCTGTATCTGTACTTAACAGA